TTCTTTTCAACCCATTTTCCATAACGATAGCAACGTGCGAGAATAGTTAAAAGTATAGAATTTGATTGATTATTTAAACATAAATTAATTAGATCCTCTGATTTTAATTGATTTCTTGTCAAATATTTTTCTATTGAACTAATAAATTCAGAATCAAAGCTTCCTTTGAATGATTCTTTTTCATGCAATTCGCATAATTCTTCAATTATTTTTTTATCATTGTTGTTATGCAATCCGCATAATGATAATTTATCAATTATTTGTTTATCTAAGAAATCCTGTGACTCATTAACATTGCGTAACATGTTTATTGCGTAAAGGATGAAAGTCTTATTTTTGGTACCGGTTCTGTAAGTTGATTATAAAAAAGACAGTTATGGGGGTATTTATATACTGTACGAGCTTACGTACGTGGAACACAGTCAGGAAAATTTCCAAATTTGGAGATGTAGAACGCCCTTTTTTGGTAAAAGATCTGCAATTGGAAAATTCTTTTAATTCTATGGGGCAAATTTTGCACCAATTGTTATTTGTTTTTATTTGCCTTTTAAAGCCCCAGGGATCTCACATTCATATAATAACTTTTGCAACGATATTTTAAAGGCTTTTTTTAAGCTGATTGTTTTTGTTAGATAATAAAAAATTGCTTTTTTTAAAATGAAAATCGGTTCTGGAACAATCTTTTAATCTTCTATTGTAATTTTTAAGTTTTTTTTTAAAAAAAAAAAAAACTAATTCTATATTTTTATTTTTTATTTATACTGTACCATGCAAAATTTATTACAATATACAGAATATCAAATGTAAATATTTCTTACAAGTGCCCAAACAAACCAGAGCATCCTTTACATATAATTAGAGGGTAATTAGATACTATATATTAACGAAATGGGTCACTGACGAAATAAAAGTAGGGATTGAAAAGACCGAATACGGTCCAGTCTTTTAATAGAGTTTGGAACCGGTTTATTTTTCACATGATAATCGGTTTTACATATGTAAAATAAAACCGGTTCCAAACACTTACATTATTCGGTCCTCGGTCCTATGACCAGTTCGGCTCTGGTCTTTATGAATCGTTAAAAAATTAAAAAAAAGTGTTACGTAATCGATTATCTGTTATTTTTCGATTACCAGAATCACATGATTTAGTTTTCTCAGCTAGCCAATAAAATGGTTAAAGGTTTAAATGATTAAGATCCGTTTGTGGAACTGGAATAAAAAAACACATCTAATGGTGGATTGGTCCTTAACGGTCCGATCCTGGTCCAAACAATGGTACTACGAAGCTGATAAAAAAAATAATAAATTAATAAAAAGAAAAATAAGAAATAGCATATTTTTTTTAACAATGAGCGATAGAAAGATTCTTTACTTTTATTTTCCAATTTTTACAACATATATTGATGCGTAGCAATATTAGTATAAGTAGCCCTCTAATTAATGAGATTCTAGGTTCTAATGAAGTAAACATTGATGTCTCAACTTCTAATAATATTGTCTAATTACCAATATTTAATAATAAAAAATCAAAAAAAAATAGATAAGTAGGATTTTTTCAATAGCATTTTTATTATGTTGAATTATAAATCGGAAAAAAATAAGATTATCTGAAACCCCCTAATACAACTATCTTATAGTATGGAAATATTTTAATATTAACGATTCTCCTACTATTTCAAACAAAAGAAATAGATTAGACGATGAATCTCAAAGGCAATCTGTGCTTTACAAGTTGGCTTCAAAAAGAAACTTTGGACAACTAGAAAACTATTATAATTGTTTATTATATTAAATTCAAAAAAAAATTTACAATGAACATTAACAATATTTAATACATAAACTTATATACATAAACATCGTATCAATAAAATATAAGAATGTGTGTTTTGTAACTTAAATTGATAACCAAATTTTTACCATAAGACCGATTTTAGGACCGAAAGACGTATTAAATCGGTCCTACAGGGACCGGGACCGACCATGACGGACCGATTCATCATTAATTACTAAATAAAAAAGCAACCAACGATCGAGGGCGCATTCACATGATTTTCCGACTCATAACCTTCAGAAAGCCTTCGAATTATAGACTTTTTTAAATTTCCAAATCAACAATTATTATTTTATATAAATCGTAAAAACATGAATTAAATTGATTTCAAATGATATCAAAATACGTTTTCAAAGCATTAGATAAAAAATATTAAATGCAGGAAGGAAACAAAACTTATATAACAAGAAAATAAACAACAACCACAATTCATCAATTATAAAACCATGTACGTATTAAATTTTCGTCAAAGTCAGTAAAAGCACCTAAAGACCATAAATATTTACATTTAAGACGAAAAGTTATGCACAGGCTAAATTAAAGCGAAAAATCTGACTTACATAAAAAGGCTCAAACTCGTTTTTTTTCGTAATATAAATGGAAAGATGAATGAGAAAGAAATCAAAAAAAAAACCCCCCCAAATCGAGAGGTTGTAAATGCACGTAACAGCGCCCTCGACTATGGGTAACAGTGTTTTTTGGTAAAATGGATTTTTGGCGAAAAATTCTGATGCTATGATCCTTTCGATGTTAGAATTCTTCTGTTATTACGACATTTTTGCTGTTTAAAATTCCATAATTATGTATATGACGCAGATTTTATGCTGTGACACGAAAGTAAAAGGCAAAATGTATTGGAATGTTCAATCTAATATAATCTCGCAGTATATCTCAGCAATTGCTCAAATAGTCAGTAGATGAGTCTTCGTCATACCATTATATAATAATAAAAATTTTAAATTTATAATAACAAGTTCGCTATAACGAAGGTGAACTGTACATAAAAAAGTTTGTGACAATGAAATTACAACAAAGATTTATTGTTTTCAACGTAAAGAAAAATTAAAGAATTCAATATCGATATGTTGTACGAATGTACATATCTGGAGTTGTTAATCCGGACGCCTGAACATGAAGCTGCCAATCTCTAAATGGAATGTAATACCTCATTACATGTAGTAACTGCGGCATTCATGCTAGCCGTAAGAATTTAATATAGAAATAATCTCTAAAATGACGTGCATGCATAATATTTTTAGAAATTATTTCTAAATTACATAGCGCTAACGGAAAATTGAATAGAGCCTGTATTACAGAAGCATCGAATAAATAAAGTTATATATTGAAGACGATAAATTTTGTCAGTTTCTCAACAATGGTCCATATTATGTATTTCTGCATTATTTCTGAGGCTTCTACACTTACCGTTACTGTTGTACTGCACTGTACATCCGTACGACAAAAATATATCTATTTAAGTTTGGAGTCGCCTAGCGCTAGAGCATTGTTTCCCGAAGTGGTAATAGAAATACAAAAATTAATATTATAAAATGGACGATAACAATTTCATGTCAAATTCATATTCACATTCGATAACAATTTAACGTCAAATACACTCGATAACAATAACGCATCTTCATATCAAATTATTCACATTAAATTTTGCAAAATGAATCAAAAAATCTTCGCAGTCGCTATTATTTTGATAAGCTTTTCTTTATTCGTTAACGCGGGTCCCTTAGCATATGGCGCGTGCCAAACGGTATGCAATATTGGTTGGGTTTCATGTTACGCTGCCTTCGGCTACGTCGCTGGTATATATTATTCAAATTATTAAGTAATTTTCGTATTTTGAATGCACCTTTGGTGATAAATAACACTTTTTATTTATTTAAAAGGAACGGTTACTGTAGGAGTAGGTACACCTCTCGTTATACTCGGCTGTAACGCTGCACAAGGTGCCTGTATGGCACTTTGCGCGCCTCTATTAGTCCTGCCTACTCCTTAATCATTTTGCAATTTATATACGTATATATGATATATCGTAAATCGATATTCTGACACTTCCACCTTCATTTTTTACTATTGCAAAAAAAAAAAAAATCCTTTCTTTATTTTGATTATCTTCGTTTTTACGTTATTTTGCTATCTTCAATCTCTTATGTTATTACTTCATTTATTCTTATGTTATTCTTACTTCATTTATTCTTATGTTATTCTTACTTCATTTATTCTTATGTTATTATTACTTCATTTATTCTTATGCTATTATTCTTATTCGTTCTTATGTTATTATTTTCAT